GTAATTCCTAGGAGGATTAAAGACACAAATGTAAAACACAAACCTTTAAACCTATTAACAAAATATATGTTATATCCTTATATTATATCTTTATGTCCTTGGGGTAGGGAAGAATTTTTTGACAAGACCTACCATGAGGAAAAGAGTTATAAACATGACTATATTAAAATGAAGAGCTTTGGTACATCAAAAGACACATTTTTAAAATATGAAAAGGTAAGCCACATGATGGGAGAAATGTTTGCACATGTTACAAAGTATCTGTATCCCAAACGTAAAGAAAGCCTACAAATTAAAAAGGAAAAGACTGCAACCCAATAGAGAAATGGGAAAAGGCATAAACAAGTAAGGCACAGAAAGAGAAAAATTGAATGGAGAGTAACATATGAGAGATACCCTCACTATTCAGTCAGGGCAAAGCAGATATAAATAAGTTACAAGTTTTCGTCATTTGTGCAAGGATTTTAGAAATGATAGTGATGGCAAGGGTATGGGAAAATAGGAACTCTGCAGGTGGGAATATACGTTGGGTAGTAAATCTATAGTGAAACCTTTATTGAATAAGCTGAACTCAATTGAGTACAGGCAGAGATCAACTTTTATTCTTCCCCATGTCTCCTCTTTTTTTTTTTTTTTTAAATTTGTTTTATTTTTGGCTGCGTTGGGTCTTCGTTGCTGCGTGCAGGCTTTTCTCTGGTTGCGGCGAGCTGGGGCTACTCTTCATTGCAGTGCACAGGCTTCTCATTGCGGGGGCTTCTCTTGTTGTGGAACACGGGCTCTAGGTGCGCGGGCTTCAGTAGTTGTGGCACACGGGCTCAGCAGTTGTGGCTCACGGGCTCTAGAGCGTAGGCTCAGTAGTTGTGGTGCACGGGCTTAGCTGCTCTGAGGCATGTGTGATCTTCCTGGACCAGGGCTTGAACCCGTGTCCCCTGCATTGGCAGTCGGATTCTTAACCCACTACGCCACCAGGGAAGCCCCCCTATGTCTCCTCTTGACTCTGCTCTGCTGAACAGTTCTTTCTCTGTTCATACTATCTTCAGATACTATGAAATCCCAATAACAAGTCTAATGCTACGGACTGAACTGTGCCCCTTGCGCCCCTCACAATTTATACGTGGAACCCCTAACCCCCAGTGTGACTCTATCTAGAAACAGGGTCTTTAGAAGGTAATTAAGGTTAAATGAAGTCATAAGGGTGGTGCCCTAATCCAATAGGATGTGACCTTATAAGAAGAGGAAGATTTCTCTCTCCCCACCCTCAATCACGTGAGGACAAAGCAAAAAGGCAGCTGTCTGCAAGCCAGGAAGAGAATTCTCACAGAGACCAAATCGTCCAGCACCTTGATCATGGACTTTTCAGCCTCCAGAACTGTGAGAAATAAATTTCTGTTGTTAAGCCGCCCAGTCTGTGGTATTTTGTTATGGCAGCCTGAACAGACTAACATACCCAGTAACAAATGTGTATGGCTTAATATGAAGAAAACAATAAATCTCTCTGAGAGCTATAAAAAATGACCCAAATAATCCTAGATTGGGAGGTTCAGTATTGTGAAGATGGTGATTCTTTTCCTAAACAATAGGTATTTAATGTAATCCTATTCAAAACTACAGAAGGGTTATTCTTTTACCCTTACAAGCTGATTCAGTAATGTCCAAGAAATCATCTGAAAATAACAAAAATTTTTGGAAAGCACAAAATCAGAAGTGGGTGGGGCTGTCTTCCCACATAGCAAAACACAACGGAGTTGATGACTTTGGTGTAGAAATAAACATAGAGTGACCCAGAAGAGAAGCAAGTCCAGAGACCCACACATGTGTGCCCGTGTGTATATGTGCACGTGTGTTAAAAGTGGCATTTTTAATAACAAAACCATGACTTAGTCAATAACTGGTATTAAAATAATTAGATATTCATTAAGCAAATAATTAGATATTCATTAAGGGGGTGGTCTTTACCTAGCACCACGCGCAAAGTAATTTCAGGTAAAGAGTCAGACATGAAAAATTTCACAAAGAGTTCGTGGTGATCATTGTGCTTGACCACCCCCACCAGCTGTGCACCCCAAAGGATTAATCTAAGGTATTCACAGTCACCACGTTTCCCTGGGCCAAGACATGAGGGGAAGTATTTTGAAACTTTGGGAAAAGATTTTCATGTTTCCAAGGAAGAGAAACATGGGAATTCCCTGGCGGTCCAGTGGTTAGGACTCTATGCTTTCACTGCTGAGGGCCCAGGTTCAATCCCTGTTTGGGGAACTAAGATCCCACAAGCTATGCGGCCCAAAAAAAAAGGAAAAGAAAAGGGAAGAGAAACAGGAAAACACAATCCCTTTTGTTCCTCTGGATTTGCTGTGAATTCTGCATATGAAATCTGCACCTGCTCTAGCCATCTTGTTGGCAGCCTGAAATAAAGCCAGTATCGACAATGGAATGAAAAGAAGTCAAGTTCAGGAAAATGTCATTGGGCCACTGACCATACCAGCCTAAATCCACCTTACTTCTGGACATCTTAAGTGAAATAATACATTTCTTTATTGGGAGAACATATAGGAGAAGACTTTAAATGATTTGGAATTAAGTGTTTTTTAATCAGGATACAAACCCTAAAATCTGTGAAGGAAAAGATTGACATAATTGATTATATCTATTTGATATTCCAGATAACAGATTTCATCATAATAAAGTAAAAATAGCAGCACAGGGGGAGAAAATATTTGCAGTTTACATAATGGGTCGACAAACTATTATCCTCAACACTAAGGAAATCCACAAATCAAGAAGAAAAAAACACTCCAATGGAAAAATGAGCAAAGGATATAAAAAGGCAATTCACAGAAGAAATGTGATGAGCAATAAACATGATAAGTTAATCAACCTCTCTGGTAATCAAGAAAGTGGAGATGAAAACAACTTACCAAATCAGCAAAAATGTATATAATGATAACAATACCCATTTTGATGAGGAAGCAAGTATTAATGGGACAATAAACTGGTATGGTCTTGGTGGAGGACAATCTGCTAGTTCTACCAGAGTTTTAAAGGTGCTTATACTTGAGAGAGCAAGTTATCTATTCTAGAAAAACGGCACACAGGTGCTCCATAAGAATGTGTAAAGTGATCATTGCAGCATTTTGTCATTGCAAAAAATAATGGAAATAACCTAAATATTAAGTTTAACATTTAAAGAAAAGAACTAATAAATGATGATACATGCAAGTTATGAAACACCATGTAGCATTTTTATTGGGGTAGATAGTTATGACGTGAAATAGAACAATCTACCAAGTCATATCATTAGGAAAAGAAATAAAATGACAGAAGATAATATTATAGATAGATAGACAAATAAGAAAACCCTTATATAAAGTAAGTCAATTCTTATAAAAATACATTAGAAATAAATCCATTGTTAAGATTCAAATATTTTTTAATATCTAAAATTGGGATGCATCTCACAGTTGCTAGCATGTCATAATTTAACTCATAGTGTTTTCCTTTCTTGGATGTACAGGAAATAATGGAACTTTAAAAAATAGATACATCTTAGAGTCAATATAACATAGATGATAGATAGATAATCAATAAATGATAGAAGACTAAAAGGATAAGCAGCAAAATGTTAGCAGTGCTTACCTTTACCTCTATTTAATTCTATATTGTTTGGACTTTTTACAATGAGAATGTAACTAGGTGTCTAAACGTTTTAAAAATTCTAATTATCCTGTTTAATCTTTGTTACATTAAATTCTTTTTGATTTCTTTTTGTTTACGTTTACATGACATGTCCATACCCCATCCTTTTATTTTCAATCTTTTAGTAGAATTTTAAGTCATCTTTGGTAAGCAGTCATTGAATCGCTTTGTTGTTTTTGCTCCAAGCTGAATCTTTGCCTATTTTTAAAGGGGTTTAAAAGTGTTAATGTTTGTTGGCATAACTGTTATGCCTGGTGTTACTTCTGACATCTTGCTTTATGCCTTACGTTTTCTGTTTACTTTCTATTCTGTTTTTTGCTATAGGGAGAGTATTTTGTTTGCTTTTATCTTCTGCAATGATTTGGAAATTAGATTTCCTGCTTTAAATTTGAGTGGTGACTAAATTATAAAGTAATTCTTAAAGTCAAATGTATCACTAGGCTTTAGTCAGGAAAACCACTGTCTAGGTATTCCAGGAATGAAAAGTTTAAAACAGGAACTAGGGCTGGCACAACTTTGGAAGAGCAGGGCTGGGAAGGTCAGTGAATCCATACCAAGATCTGAGCCTGAAGGTCTAAAGCAGGTGATTCTTGGGACTCACTGGGAAGCCCCTGTGAAGTCACAGGACTACCCACTTTTGTGGTCACAAAGACCTCTCCTTCCAGACTTCTCAAGAGCATCTCTCCTGGGCAAAATCTAACCCAGAACCATTCAGGGAAGGTGATTCTAGGAAAGGTAGTTCCTGGCTTCTCTGCAGCCATGCAGAATGACGGCAAGTTGATAACAGACAACCAGAAGAGCATATTTATTATTTTATTTAAAAGTAAACATTTAATTTTTTTACTCCTCTTTACATGGAATGAGGAACCAAGTGTTCTTTCTTTCTCGTCTATTTTTCCACATTTCCAATAATTTTAACTGAATAATTGGTTTTAATATTTACTTATTTATTTGGCTGCGCCAAGTCTTAGTTGCGGCACGTGGGATCTTTAGTTGCGGCACGTGGGATCTTTAGTTGCGGCATGTGGGATCTTTAGTTGCGGCATGCGGGCTCTTAGTTGTGGCATGTGGGATCTAGTTCCCTGACCAGGGATTGAACCTGGGCCCCCTGCATTGGGAGTGCATAGTCTTTTTTTTTGTGTGTGTGGTACGCAGACCTCTCACTGTTGTGGCCCCTCCCGTTGCAGAGCACAGGCTCTGGACGCACAGGTTCAGTGGCCATGGCTCACGGCCCAGCCACTCCGTGGCATGTGGAATCCTCCCAGTCCGGGGCACGAACCCATGTCCCCTGCATCAGCAGGCGGACTTTCAACCACTGCGCCACCAGGGAAGCCCCAAGGAGTGCATAGTCTTAACCACTGGACCACAAGGGAAGTCCCTTAACTGAACAATTAAAAATATAATTATCCATTCAGTTTACTTTTTATATTCAAGCTCCCATAAGCACATTGATAATAATTGTGTGTGTGGAAAAACAAAACAAAACAAAACTACAATCATCCTTTCCTCTGGGAGTTCCATGGTGGCCTAGTGATTAAGATTCCAGGCTTTCCCTGCCTTGGTCTGGATTCAGTCCCTGGTCAGGGAACAGATCCCACAAGTCGTGTGGTGTGGCCACAAATAAAAAACCCAGGGTAATTGTGTGTGTGTATGCACGTGTAACTGGTTTCAGTACTTATTTCCAGTTCTTTCCTCCTTCTTGTCCTAAGATCTTACTTTGGACTCCCCTCATGATTTTCTGGTGGACATTCTCAGGAACCTTCAGGAGGAGTGATGAAATGTACATTTTCATAGTTCTTGCATTTCTGAGAACATCTTTCTATTGTTGTCACAGATAACAATTTTTTCTGAATTTGTAGATAATAACCTTCTCTCTACATATCTCTGTAGACATTTCTTCATGACCTTTTGGCATTCATTGTGATGGGAAGACCTAGGAGGGTCATTCTTTTGTTTTCTTCTGTCAATAGCCTCTTCCGTTTTTTAAGATAATTCCTTCTGTTTTAAATTTTTTTCATTGCCAATATTTTTGTACCTGTTAATATTTTGGATAAAACGCACTGAATATACACTCAGTTAGGTTGATTTTGTTTGTAAAGTCAAGAATATTTTCGCTTATTATTGCTTCAGCTTTCCTTTCTCAGTAGAATTAATAAGATAGATCCTGGGACCTGTTTTCTATACTAGCTATTCTTTATCTCTCATTTACATATATATTTTTTCTGTTCTCTAGTATAGTTTCTTCAGTTTATCCTTTCATTAATATAGTTTTCTACAGTGTCATATTTATTATTTTTCTATGCCCAACATAGATGCCGAATGGTACTGCACTTTAAATTCCACAAAGTCTCTTCTTGTTTGGCTGATTGTATTTTCAGTACGTCCTGTTCCTGTTTAGTAGGAGAATTTCAGTAGTAGCTACTAAAAACACAAGGCGAAGAGTTTCTAAGAGTATTTTGATATCATACAAAAAAATCTATGTCAGAGGGCGAGAAATCTACATTTGATTCCAGAATATTGGGCCATTTTTCTCCTTCTCTTGTATAAAATAATAGATTTTCACAGGTCTGTGTTAATTTTTGTCTCTTTGATCATCTCTTTAGAGTGAGAGATGAGCCCATTCAGGAAAAGGCTGGAGACAAGTATAATGCATCCAGTTCCAGGCTGGAAAGGAAGAGGATAGTAAGTTTTCTGTTCAGTGAATAAGCAGGCACCAAATAGGAACCATATTCGTACATTTCGCCTACTTTGAAGACCTCTTAGTATTACAAATAGATGCTTAGGGGGAAGGAAATGGATTATGAAGCACATAATCCACTAAATGCTCACAAGTCAAATGGTGGTTTCTGTCCTGGAGTACAAATGAAAATATCTGGAGTGACTGGAGCTGGAAATCTGTGATACGTGGCAGGCAGTGAGGCATTGCGAAAGAACTTGCTGTTGACTGCTGAGAGAGGCTGAATGTCATTCCTGACTCATTGTTAAGGCGATTACTTCATTTTCTCCAGAATCTGGAGAATGCATACCTCTTGCTCATATACAGCATAGACAGGCTGAGGTAGTAAGTGTCTAAATTTTGGGGGGTCAAATGCGAAAAAGATGTGATTACCCTGGAAGAAATGGATGGCCATTTATTGGCGCTCCTAGAAATATGAAAGAAAGACAAATAGGATTAAAAACAAAGTGGAATCATTTCCAGGCAGAGACTGAGCCAGGAAAGGGGCCCAGGTCCTCCCTTTTACCCAGAGCACCCTTCGGCCTTGGCACCTGGTCCCTTGAATCGGAGTCATTGTCTGACTCTAGTGCAAACCGTGGCTCCATTGTGATTCTGCAGAGAGGCTGCCCCACATGCACTGATTTCCACCCACCTGGGGCTTCTTTGGGCTTATCCCACTGAGCTGTGACTCCGGCTGCCAGCCAAGAGGGCCTCTGTCCAGGGTGGTGTCTTGAGATTTGTGCTTATTTATCGCACAAGAGCTACCAGGGAAATCCCTTTGCCATCCCATGGGAAATGTCAAGTCAGAGGCAAAGTTTGGGTGCTCCCTGTTTGAATCCAGGGTTTCGGGTCAGAGTGGATGGTGGCCAGGACCTGCATGCTTATTTATATCTGCCTTTGAGGATACTTGGATGGACCTTAGACTACCTGGAAAGTTCTAGAAAAGAAATGTAGGTTCTGCATATCAGGTGTTCTAAGGGATTTTCATGAAATCTAATGGAACAGAATAGTCTGAAATAGACGAGGTTCATAGGGTAGCTTAGTGCAATGCTTCTCAGACTCACTGTGCATTAGACTTATCTACGGAGCTTGTAAACATGCGGATTCTTGACCGCACTCCCTGGGCTTCTCACTCATAGGTCTGCAGTTGGGACTAGGAATTTGCATTTTTCGTGAGCATTCCCAGCTGATTCTAGTGCAACAGGGTGACACAACAAATTCCACTTAGAAAAACACTGATTTCTGGCGATGCTGGCAAAGTAAGCACTTAGATCAACCTGTTGTGGTGAGTACTGAGCCAAGAATGGGTTTGTCAAGAACTACAGAAGGAAGACTATCTGCATCCCCTCCCACCGGTTGAGCACTGCCTCGCGCCTAACCAGACTTCCTCGGCAAGCAGGGTTCCTGCAGTCTCCAATTATATGCATTGTTGTTAAGAGAGTCTATCCCAGAGGAAAGGGAAGTAGCAAGTAAAGGGAAGAAACTTTCCTTCTGTCGGGGTCAGACTGATGTGCTCAACTGGAAAATCCCAGTGACAGAGAGAGAAACAGTGTATTGTGATATCATTCAGTGCCTGTCTGCCCACATCTCCTCTAAGGGAAACTTCCCCACTCACAGCCCCTGATTTCCCGGTGGCCACATTGAGTACTATAAGAAGGTGCATCCCTCCCCACAGCTGAATAGGCCAAGGATGGGCACCTGAACCCAAGGCAGGCATTTCTCAGCTAAGGTAAGACATGAACTGGCATGAAAAGATGAACCAGGCCAATCAGATTACCTCTTGGGAATTTGTTGGGAAACATGGAAAACCCAAACCAGTTATTAGTCGGTGACAGTTTATCAAAAGATCATGTCATAGCAAGAAAGGCTGGGGAAGCTATGATGAACTATGAGTAGACAAAAGAAGCTGGTCAGTGGGGAGAAGAAAACACAGCAGATATGCAGAGAGAAAAGAAATTTCAAGAAAAGTTGAGAAATGAGAAAAACAAGAAACCTGGTTAAGAGCACCAGATAAAAGCAAATAATAAATGCTCTCCAGCTCAAGGAACATGTAGCCTTACTTGAGCAAGCTTGAGAGGGTCTCCAGTCCCGCAATGAAATACCCATAAACAATGAAGAGGGACCAAAGTTAGACCGAATGTTTATGTCCCCTAAAATTCATGTGTTGAAACCTAATCTCCAATGTAATGGTATTAGGAGGTGGGGACTTTGGGAGGTGATTAGGTCATGGGGTTGGGGGGTGGGGGTCTCATGAATGGGATTAATTCCCACATGGAAGAGACCCCAGAGAGCAGCCTCACCTCCTTCCACCATGTGAGGACACAGCAAAAGACAGCCATCTGTGAACCAGAAAGTAGGCCCTCACCAGACACTGAATCTGCCAGTGCAGATCTCGGACTTCCCAGCTTTGTTTATAAGCCACCCAGTCTATGGCACATTTTTTATAACAGCCCAAAATTCTCAGACAAACATTTAATGAGCTCTTATTGCATGCAAGATAGTTGCTGAGTGTGTAATGTATTCTTTCTCATTTCACACTCACAATAGCACTGAAAAAAATGCATTATACTGCTTGCCTGTTCTGTTTTATCACCCTTATTATTTTTTAATTTAATTTAATTTTTTTATACTTTTATTTATTTATTTAGCCCCACTGTGCGGCATGCAGGATCTTAGTTCCCTGAACAAGGATTGAACCTGTGCCCCTTGCGGTGGAAGCACGGGCTCCCAACCACTGAACCATGAGGGAAGTCCCTATCACTCTTATTTTAGATATAAGGAAAATTAATAAATTGTTTTGCTCTGAGCTGTCCAATAGTGTAGCCACCGTATGTGGCTCTTAGGCACTCGTCCAAACTGAGATGTGCTGTAAGTGTAAAATCCACATCAAATTTTGAAATTTAGTAAAAAAATTTTTTAAAGAATGTAGACTATCTCATTATTCATTTTTGATTGAGAACATGCTGAAATGATATATTTTAGATATATTAGATTAAATAAAATATAATATTAAAATTAATTTCACCCATTACTTTTTAAATGGAGTTATTAGAAAATTAAAAATTGCATATGTGACTCACATTTGTGAGTCACATTATATTTCTTTTGGATAGCACTGGTCTAACCTGTTGGCTTATGAGACAAAAAATAGTGATGCATGAAAAGGAGAAAAATATAAGCTTCCCTTCATGATGTCACACTCACCAGTCCTCACATTGGAAAGCAAATTCAACAAATACTGACCAAGTGCCTGTGGGAATCTCCAGAGATAGCCACCACAGTTTTCCCCTCCCTAGATAAGCATGTCCCTCCCACTTCAAGAAGCAGAGCTTAATTCCCCTCCCTTGAATCTGGGCTGGCCTTATAACTTGCTTTGACCAACAGAGCATGGTGGAAGTGACATTATATCTGTTTTGAGTGTAGCCTTTAAGAGGCCTGGCAGCTTCCATTTCCACTTTTATTCTTGGAAGCCACCACCATGGTATAAAGAAGCTGTGGTTATACTACTGAATGGACAGATAGAGGCCAGGTGGAGGAGCACCTGAGAGCCAGACATGTGAGCAAGGCCTTCTAGGACCTTCCAGCACAGCAGAATGCAGCCTAACTAGTGACCCTGCCAATGCCATGTAGCATGAACTGCTCCACCAAACACAGCCCAAATGGCAGAACCATGAGAAATAATACATCACTCTTGTTCCAAGCTGCTAAGTTTTGGGGTGGTTTGTTATATAGCAATAGCTAAAGACTGTGCCTTCTGCAGGCAACACCCTGTGATAGACAGAGCCTGGCAGTGACAGCATAACTAAGGATGTCTCGCACCCTCCATGAGCTTAGAGTCTAAGGGGGACATCATACACTTGTATACAAAAACAAGTTTAATATGGGATGTAGGAATCAAGGGGATAGGCATTTTAAGTCGAATATTGCAATGGTTGTTGAAGCAACTCACCCAGAACTTCATACTGCTTGGAAGTAGCGTCTTCTCGCAGGTCCCAGGGTTCTTAAGGCCCTTTTCTTCCCCATTCAAGCCTGATGAGGAGGGAAGCAGCCGCTCCAGCTACCTCTCTTGGCTCTCCTTAAAGCCAAGTCCACGCATCTAACCGCTGTTCCCAGCAGCACAGCCAGAGAGAAAACAAGATGCAAATATGGGAAAATAACACAGATATTGAACTCTTACAAAGTTTTTATTCTCCACTGGTCTAGGCTTCCTCACAGCTCCCCAAATGTAGTAAACAAGAGCATGTTGGGGGCTTATAATCTCCACTATCATTTCCAAGGACAGTGCTCACCTCCTCTCTTCTCCTTTTGACTCTGTACCAAGGGTCCTCTGGGCCATTTTCCCCATTGAAGTCTCTCTGCCTGAAGGTGACATCCAGGCACAAATAGGTGCTCTTTGTCTCAGGTTGGTCATTTGCATCTCTGTAGTCTTCATGCCTGGGTGACACCCACTTGACTAAGCATTTGCCCCTTGTGGGCTCAGAGTCCCTCGTTTACATTTCCCCACAATAGTGAAAGGCTTACAAGCTGTTGAAATACAGTTGCTAAACAGCTAGTAATTCAGCCAGAAGACAGCCCTTGAAGGGTTAGAATCAGAGCGATTCTGAGAGCTCTAAACCCCTAGGCATTGGCACTATGACCAACCAGTGAAAGTAAAGGCAGAGTGAGAAAACTAAGAGCATCTCAGCCATGCCTAGGGCAAACATTTTGCTGACCACTCTCCCCCAGGGCTTCCTCAGTAAACCCCAGGAGAAAGGATTTAGTGGTTAAAACCAAACACACAAAGTAGAGTCACTGTTTAGATTCTACGTGGAATCAGTGCATGAGACAAAAATCACATATAGTCACAATTATCCTTCAACATCCTTTAATGCTTGTGAATAGAGCAGACGTTGTTTTGTGTTTACAGCCCTGGACAGTAAATCTTATAACCATTGGATGTTCAAGACCACTGAGATACAAATGAAAGGGGAGAACAGAAGTAAATTTTACGTGTAGATGTCTGTTTTCAAAGCACTTTACCTTGAAGATAACTGCTAAATTTTCATTCACCATTATTATTATTATTCACACGTTCCTAGTAGGGAATGGGGGAACGGGTAGAGAATAATAATAAAAAACCATCAATGCTCGTGATAGGCACTGTTCTGACTGCCTTATGTGTATTAGCTCATGCAATCTTTACTGTGTTAGGAATCATTATCCCTAGTTTACAGAAGAGGAAACCCAAGGATACAGAGGTTGTGGAAATTATCTTAGATTTTCTGCTAGAACGTGACAGCGCTTTCAGGAGTAGGTGGTATAAAGCTACTTGTGAAGGAAATATAGGATTTCAATAAATGGAACTGAGGGACAGGGAAGGGTATTAGAGGTGGAAGGCACTGCATGAGCAAAGGAATAGAAGTTGGAAAATACAGGGCAGGTATGGGGAATATTCTTTTGTAGCTGGAGCAAAAGATGAGTGAGATCTGTAATCTTAGGCTGGATAACTACGTGTAATGGCTAATTTTATGTGTCAACTTGGCTGGGCCATGGGTGACACCATGTACCTCAGATTGGGACTCAAACCCACATGGCCAGGACTCCAACCCAGCCAAAACCCACAGTCTTCCAACTGAGATCACACACCTGGTTTCAGGACTTAATGAAGCTCAGGTTCTTGATGTCTCATCACAGAAAGAATTCAGTGAGAGACAAAGTGATAGGTAAGAAGTGGATTTATTTAGAGAGAAACACACTCCACAGACAGAGTGTGGGCCATCTCAGAAGGTGAGAAAGGCACCAGGGTATGGGGTTGTCAGTTTTTATAGAGGTGGGTAATTTCATAGGCTAATGAGTGGGAGGAGTATTCCAGCTATTTCAGGAAGGGGCGGGGATTTCCAGGAATTGGGCCACCACCCACTTTTTGATCCTTACTGTCAGTCTTGGAACTGTCATGGCACCTGTGGGTGTGTCATGGCACCCGTGGGTGTTACAGTGAGCATATACTGAGGCTCAAGGTCTAGTGGAAGTTGACTAGTCTGCCATCTTGGACCCATTTGGTTCTAATCAGTTTATGTCATGTCCTTGGGCTGTGTCATTCTTTCAAAGGTTGTGCCCTGCCCCCTTCCCTCCTGTTTCATGGGTACCCAGATATTTGGTCAAATATTATTCTGGGTCTTGCTGTGAGAGTGTTTTGGGATTCAGTGGACCTTTATTAAGACAGGTTGCCCTCCCTAATGTGGGTGAGCCTCATTCAATCAGTTGAAGGACTGATTAGACTAAAAGGACTGGCCTCCCCCATGTGGCAGAGAATTCTCCAGGCACCTACCTTTGCACTTCAAGAGTAACCTCAGTTCTTCCTGGGTCTACAGCAGACAGCCTTCAAACAAATTGCAACATCAGCTCCCCTGGATCTCCAGGCTGCTGACACACCCTGGCAATATTGGACTGACCAGGCTCGATAACCACAAATTCCCTGTAATATGTCTGCTTCTGTATATACACATTCCTATTGGTTCTGTTTCTTAGAGGAAATTGTGGGAGTCTCATAGAACTTGAGATCTGGAAGGCACCCTTAACCGCCCTCCCTCATTAGAAAAGCAGAAAAGAAAGAACACCACGTCTTAGAGAGTTTCAATGGCCAGTGAAGCCCACAGAGCCGGTAAATGGCAGAGGTGTGGGCTAGAAAGCTCCTGGCTCAGAACCCCCTTCCCCCTCTCTCTTTCACGGCAGTGTGCCGTCTCCTTTAGGTCACACACAGGATGCAGGTGGGGTTGTTGAGGGGACAGAGCTCTCCTGTGTGCTCCCCGCTACATGCATATGGGGTTGGTGAGAGGGTAGAGCTCTCCTGTGTGCTCCCCTCTACATTTCCTGCTTTCCTTCTCCAAACATGGTGTAATATCGGTGCTGGCTCCAAACATGTCATGACACAGGCCCATCTGTCATTATCCTGTACTGTCCAGCACCTTTCAGGTAGGCTGCTTCCGAGAGCGGGCCAGGACCGAAGTGGGGCAAGCAGGCCTCACTCTTCCCACCTGACCAGCACTGACTGCTTTCTCTCCTGGCACGATTTTGGGATTTCCCATTCCCCTCCGTACTGCATTTCCTGCTTACAGCAACTTTTTTTTTCTAGGTCAACTCAGCTGCTCTCTGATTCAGGCAAAACTAGAAAGGCAAGGGAAAATGAAAACTGGTCAGAGCTCTTTTTACTCTCCTGTTCACACTACAGAAACACCAAATAATTACCTAATCCTGCACCTTACCCACTCTGCCTCTATCTCACAATCCTGAGTATTTTGCTTACATTGTTCAAAGATCCCCTTAATCAAGTTCAAATTTACACCTCCTTGATGGAAAAGACAGGTGCAGGCGGCATTGGGGCCCTTGTATACTGACCACTTTGGGCAATAGTATGAGATATCTCTGCATCGTCCACGGCTTGCCTCACCCACACTTCCAACCTACTTGTCCTCCCGGATGCAAATCCTTTCCTCCAGTCAAACTGGCCTTTTGATTGCTCCCTGAACTTGCCGTGTGTTTTTCCACCTTCAAACCTTTGCTCCCACCTCCTGCCCCCATGGAATGTCCTCCCCGTTTCTTTCCACCTATAGCCAAATCAGATTCGTTTCACCCTGATTCAACGCCAACGGCAGGTGGGCGTTGGGCCAGCACTTTCACATGTGTTATCTCGTCCTGCAAGGCCCAGCATAAAATTCTTTTTATCCGTGAAGCCCTCTGGGGCTCTCCCAACTGGAAGTGACCGCTTCCTCCTTTCTGTTACACTTATTGTCTGTACTACTCATTTGGCACTTAATACCTCCTAGTACTCTGTAATGAATCATTCACTCATTCATTTACTTAAACAAGTACTTACTGAGTGATTATTATTTTCCGGTGGGTGCTAGAGATTCGGAGATGAGGAAGACACCTTTGTTGTCCCCATGAAATTCAGTCTAGCGGTGAAAACCGACACATAAGGAGAGGATTATCATACAACGTGAGTGCAGGTTCGAGGAGACTTCCTGTGTGATCTCTGTCCAAGTTGAGTCTTGGTGAATGAGTAGAAGTCGGCCAGGTGAAGGTGGGGAGAGAGTACACTTTCAACACAGACAAAAGAACTGGACCCAGAGCCGAAGAGCAGCCAAGTGTGTAGGAGACTCTGCAAGCAGCCCCTTCTTGCTGGAGCAGAGAACGTTGCTTAAAGCATAGAATGTACAAGATATAGCGGGAGGTCCTGGAACACCAGGCTTAGATGCTCTGATTCACCCTGATGGTTGTGGTATGCCATTGAGGGTCTTAAGTGAGGGATAGACTCAAGATCTGTGGTCCCAGATCACTGTGACTACAGTGTGAAGAATGGTTCAAACCAGGGAGAGACTTGAAACCAGGAGCTGTAAGGAAGTTGTGGCAAGAACCCAAGGCAAGAGATAGGAGGACGGTGACCTGCCCCAGGAATGAGGAGGCTAAATATGAGCAATGTACACGATGTGAAGTTACACCACACTCACGGCTCTGGAAGGCCTCACAACTGATCATGTAGAAAATAAGTACAGTGCAATGCAGGGAACCTATAATGGAGGTAGAGAAGGTGCTATCAGGGGAGATGATGGCTGACACAGTCTCAAAGATAGGGAACAGGCCATCAATTTGTCTGTCATATAACCTGAATATTTATGCATACGCGTGGTATCTCTTCTCCTAGACTGCAGGCTCACTGAGGGCAGGGGCTCTGAAAATACTAAAGCACATCAGTTCTTGTGACAAACCAAGGCCTCTGCCCTCACTGTTAGAGGTGGGTAGATTATGTCCCAGAAACCATGTCCTGCAGCAGGCAGGCCAGGAGTTTCTGCAGCGGGGGGCAAGGCAGGGAAGAAGCATTGAGACACGTTGCCCACAGGCCATGAGGGTAACGCCCAGAGCATGGAGTTGGAGCCAGGCAAGGCTGAATTCACATCTCCACCCTGCCATTAGCCAGTTGTAATCTTGGACAGATAACTTAAAATCTTAGTCTCATCTCCTTTATCCATAAAATGAGAATATTATTACCTGCTTCACTGTATTGACCTCAGTATCATGCGAAATAGTGAATGGATATCTCTAGGCACATACTTAGTACCCGGAGAGCACTCATTGTTATTGACGTAGGTGTCACAGATGTTGGTGTCTTTTCTGGTCTGTTCCCCTTACTAACCCATGAGATCCCCGAAGGCAGGGACTATGTCTTACTCATATTCTTTTTTTAAATAAATTTATTTATTTATTTTTGGCTGCGTTGGGTCTTTGTTGCTATGAGTGGGCTTTCTCTAGTTGTGGCGAGCAGGGGCTACTCTTCCTTGTGGTGCACGGGCTTATTGCAGTGGCTTCTCTTGTTGCAGTGCATGGGCTCTAGGCGCATGGGCTTCAATAGTTGCAGCACATGGGCTCGGTAGTTGTGGCTCACGGGCTCTAGAGCGCAGGCTCAGTAGTTGTGACACACAGGCTTAGTTGCTCTGCAGCATGTGGGATCTTCCCGGACCAGGGCTCAAACCTGTGTTCCCTGAATTGGCAAGCGGATTCTTAACCGCTGAGACACCAGGGAAGCCCCCAGCAAAATTCTTTAGTTTCAGATTCACTGTGACTCTTTAACGGCCCTCTCCCCACCCCCATCCCAACGCACAGCTCCCACATTCTGTTACCCTCCTGCAGCACCTCTAGGGCCGACCTCAGAGCTTGGTGCACAGAACACAGTAGATATTTGTTGAATGATTGTGGTAAAGGCTGTGAGAAAGAGAAAAACCAGGACCTAGGAGAGTTCAAACGAGAGATGACCTGTGAGTGACAATGATAAAACATTTGATGAAAGCTTTGAAAAATGGATGGAATGGAACCAGCTGAGGTGCGTGAGACTATAGGAGTGGGTGGAAGAGGAGCTCTCCAGGTGGATGGACAACCTGTTTGGAGAAACCAGGTGGTGTCTGAGAAATGATGAGTAACCAGGATGTCTGGAATATAGGGCTTGGGAAGGGGAGAAGGACTAGAAAGGGCATGTCAAGAGCTGGCTTCGGGACCCATTCTTATATCTCCAGGAGGTGCTCATGGTAGCTAAGATGCTTCCCCGGCACAAAGGGGTCCTTCTTTTTCTGGAGTGCAGGTGCCTGGGTTAGTTCACAAAAATTTGCTTCTCCTTAATTAGCTCTCACTCAGGAGTTGGGGGCAAGAGGGCCTAACACCTTTCAGCCCCCGAGGCTTCCCACCCCGCCTGAGCTCCAGGAACCTGGCTGGCTGGTAGGCTTCAGCCAATTCCTCTTTGCAGTGGAAACGGAATATTGCTAATTCTGTGATGTTAATTGTTTAATCTAATTCCACATTAGGAAACTTGGGACTTTGGACAATTTATAGGGAAAAAAATTGGGACAAAATTCAAACAGTTCTTCCATAGGCACTTGACTCATGTTTGAATCACATCCATGTGTGGATCATCTCTACTCACCATGGGGGCCACTGAAAAAATTCAGCTACACAGGACTGTCTGAGCTTGTGACCCACTATTGAAAACACATGCATGGCTCCTCTATTCAATAGATTATGGTTTTAAAGGGACATTTTGTGCTTTATCATCTGTCCTGTTAGGTGCTTTCTATGAGTTACCTCATTTAGTCCTCACACTCAATCCATCAGGGAAGCACTAAGATTTCTCTCCTAGATAAGGAAAC